CGTTTGGCTCTGCATGGCTTTTTACTGAATCACTATGCAGAAATGTGTTAGTAATTCATATCCTCGATAAGTAATTGTATATTTCACGCAAATTTTAGAAAGAAACCGTAACATAAGGAAAGAAGAGCCTCTGATGTTATACACGCAAAGGATATGTTACTAATCATTATTAAAGGACATTACGGATAAAGTTCAAAGTTCCAAATCTGCTTCTCGAAACCCCCGTAATTACCACTCTCTTCGGGAAATGTTTTCCGTATGGTCGTGACGACGCATGCTGCGGTACGATTCTCCACCGGTTTTTTCCCAAATACTCTATGTGCCCACCAAGTAAACTGTCTGTAGGCTGCCAAACGCCAAGTTCTAGAGAACAAGAGGATATAAAGTCAAGCGATTGACTTAATTACGCGTACAAAATAAGAAAGAAAAAGACAGTTTACCTGTTGACGATAGGGTCGGGAATTGGATTGAGCCGCGCATTGTGGATTGCAACCAATGCCGTGCTCAAAACATCCGTGTCCAAGCACACAATACCAAATTTCGGATGTTCTGTTATACATCTAACACCTATTAAGAAGAAAAAAGTCTTAACATTTTATTTCCCTCACTGTTTCAATAATTTTCATCCATCAGACCTTGTAATTGTAATTACAACTAAGATCGAGTTTGCAATTGTCCACCTTTTGTCACTCTTAGCAAAGAAGCAGTCGCTTCAAACAAAATACTCATGAGAATAATCACATAATAAGTACAAACCTGAATTGTCGAACTTTTGATTAAGCTCCTCTAGTTCTTGGCAGCAGTAACATTCATTTGCCACCGGCATAAGCGCACAAGCGCCGCACAAACACCATTCGGTATTTCCCATCCTCGAAGTATTGTCTTCTTCGTGGGCTTCTACCTCCTGTCCTACACTCTCTTCCTGAGGTGGTTCTTCTCCAGGCTGATATACTGGTTCGAACTGAAATGGTTCTATTCCGCTCATAACGAAGGGTCGACGAAGAAACAATTTGTACTAAAACTTAGCTGAACGATAACACGTTCTAAAGTGATCCCCATAACATACGTCACAGGCTCTTTTGGAAGACCGCTGATTTAAAATTGGTGCCCACGGTTTGAAAGCCGAAACAGCGCGAAAATACAAACTTTGAAGAAATATTTCTCCAAGGTAAGACACATTTAGCACAAATAACGCCTGAAATCGAGAATTTCGTCACTTTGGCTATCGAAAGAAATTAACTCGATTTTTGGCTTCAGTTCTCCTTTAAGTTCCTAGACAAACAATTTACATACGGATACAGCACCCTGCTGGTCTCTTCAGAAGATCATGTTTTTGTTCACCATAGGTCGCCCACGTCTTCCCATTTCCATTTTTATTCTATACCTGGAATTCCTTGGTGAATCGAACATCTTTCGAGTAAATGATATGCGCAAGGCAGTATTGTTTGGACAAGCCACGGAAGCAAAAGGCAAGCCCTTTTAACTATTAACAGGTGTTACTCTGTTGTCATTCTTCGTAATCACCTAAAACCCGACGGATTTAAAAGTTATGTTATTAATAAAAGATTAACTATATGGAATTCTGGATGCGTTACATCACGATCCTTGATAAAAAATTCAAAATTGTTGTCTGCTCTGACCTCAGAGAGAGCTGGAGTGGAAGATTTGGCAAGATTTACGGTGCCCATCATTAATATTCAAATGTTTCCCAACAGAAGGCTTATAAATTGTGGGAACCAAGAACTTGTTGACTTTGCAAAAAAACTTGCTGTGTCTGCTTTGTCTCTAGATTCTTAATTTTGGGGCATAAGTTTTGAAAGTGAAATTTTAATAAGGTTTGAAAGGACCATGTTTAATTAATGAAAAATAATTGGATTAACCAGACACTTGAACAAATATTGACTTGGTCAATTCACAAAAGCAAAATTATTTAAGGCCAGGGTAACATCATTAATGTCCATATTTCACTAGCGATCTGTTTATGAAGTAACTATGAACGGAATAAGAGATTTTACGCAATCTGTCTTGGTCTCCCTTCCCAGCTTTTCTTGCTATTAATTTATCATGCAGATTGCAGAAATAGTGCGCCCTGTAAGACAAATCGAAGTCTATTTCGTATCAGCTGGTTAAACTCATGTGAGAAGTGACGCTAATTGACAAATTCCGAACACCATTACCAAATCACCGTGGACAGTAATTATGTAGCAGATTCAGCAAAAGCAATGCATTAGTCCCTGGCACAAACGCAAATTCAAATTACACAAGTTGGTCAGCTACATTATTTACTACTCCTTTTTCATCTTTGACTGTCTCAGAACTTGAAGTACGGAAAATAATCGTTGTAACTTAAAGGTAAAGGATAATTATGTTCGAGTCGGACGCATGCTTTTATTAATGAAGTCGTTCACTTAAACGTTGTCTTTTGTTTCAGTAAATGTTTTTCATTTTTTGGGCTAGTGTTTATCTAAAACTGTTGACAGAAGCCCTAGGTGGGAAAAAAAATAAACTTAATAAAAATCTGCACCAAAATTGCACCCTTTTATTCCTTGTGTGCCATTTCCAAGAGTTCATTGTCTTGTGCTGAACTTTTTACTGTTTACTGAGCTGAACTGCAATCGAACCAACGTACCCGCATTTCCTTTTCATTGCGCTTAAATTGTACTTTTTATTTAGCGAATAGCGCGCGACAGCTGTCGAAGGCAACCTGGTATTCAAAAGCTTTCTTTTAGACTTTGGCTGCATTTAATCACAAACTTTAACACTAGGTTTTAAGAGTAATAGTAGATTTGGCATTTATCAAACATTTGTTACTTTTCTCCGTTTATCATAGCTTAAAGTTTCAATTTGAATGAAGCCAGTTCAGAGTCTATTTTTAGTTCAATTTGACTGCATTGGAAGGTTTTAAATCTCTTCAGGAGCTGGTTGATTGGTATTTTCTTTAGATACTGGAAATAAAAATACTGCTGCCTTTGTTAGGCCTGCGACATGTAGTTATGTCATAACCTTGAGCAATAATTAGCAACTTAGTTTGTCTGATCAGAACACTATGGCGATAAACAAAAGAGCGAAGAACGGAGAGGAAGATTCCTTATTAAAATGTTTCGATGGTAAGAACTTCTTAGGTGTTCGTACATTCTCGGTATTGCGTGTGACGTGTCTCGTGTTTCTCCCTACACTTCTTGAGTGCTCTAGCCGCTTCCTGCGTGCTTTATAACAGAACAGAGCACAGTCAAGGCTTCTCTATTTGTTAAATAAGGACCATACTTCGACTGCTGATATTTCTTATGTCTAGCAAGTAAAAAGACACTGATTGATATCAGCGGGCCCATAATGTGACATGTATACTGGTCAGCGGTTTTTTTGGAGCAACAGCTGTCACTAACATATCAATGTGGATGTCCGCCATAACAACAATGCACTGCAGGAGTTAAACGATTGCATTAGAGGCTTATTACATTTAGGACTAAATGTTATTACATTTAGGACTTTATTACATTTAGGACCAAATGTTATTACATTTAGGACAGTTATTACATTTAGGACTTCAACATGGTTGACAATTATAGTTCTTGTAAATGGAAGGGTGCTGGAATCTTGGCATACCCTTGCGATTCCCAACGCGATGTCAATTCTTGCCCAACGCCTTGGCTGAAATTCATAATTTACCTACATATTGTCCACACTTTATCCTTCACATAAAGAATCTTATTGACTTTTTATAGCCTTTAAGCCGAACAGTTCGAGACTTGTATGGATAAAAATTTCGCCACAGTGGTTTTTTTTTTTGTCTCCGTTAAGGCACGTTAAGTTCCCTGCAATATCCTAAGGAAGACTTTGCAGCAAAGAAAGTCACTAGACGGCATAAGCCAACTTTGAAACAAAGATGGCTCACGGTGGAAGCGCTCGTTTTCCTCCGCTTTGGCCTGGATTCGATTCTCTAAACCGTTTGTTTGGTAGCGATAACGAAAATCTCCTAAATGCGACTAAACTGAAAAAAACACAAGCGATAACGAAAATCTCCCAGATGCGACAAAATGCGACTAAAACTGCGACTAGAACTGCGACTAGAACTGCGACTAGAACTGCGACAACACACACGCGAGAAATCGTACGCGTAACTTGCTTACGACTGATTAACGTTAAATGTCTCAGCGCGCGCGCGCTTTTTGCACGATATGCCAGTCCGGTACTTTCTTCTTTCTTCTGCGAGTGTGTTGAATTTGTTGGTTGTTCTCTACATTGTTTCGAGGGTTTCCCTGCCTTCACAAAAACCATCACTTCAAATTTCGATTCAACCTGGAAAACAGAGTACAAAAACCCATCCCGTGCAAATTCCAAAGTAAAACTTTGATCTTTTTCATTTCATTTACTATGTAAATTTTCCTTTGATGTATACGCTCACCCTTGAGTATTCTTTCCCCTCTCGCCCTTGCCACTTTGATTCCTGTGCATCGAAACCTTTTTAGCTACAGCTGTTCAGACCATGATTAATTCAAAATGGCTGCCGCATCAGTGAAAAGATTTCATACCACAATTCTGCACGTTATATTCGAAAGCCCGCTGAGAGTAACTTGAGATTTTCATTCATATTAACAAGCTAAAGGATAAGAAATGAAATTATTTTCCTATTTGTCAAGTTGTGAGTTTTCTACTGATATCATCGATGTTATGGCTTTTGCATGTTCCTTAGTAGAACTTGTGAGTCGTAGCGGTTAAATCTTCTATTATATTTCTATTTTGGAAGATAGTATTGGAAAATTAAAATAAATTGTCTTCTGTTAATTTTAGTTCTGTCTGAAAACAGGATTTTTTTAAGATCAAAAGCTTTCACTGCAAAGAATCCGAGGAAAAGAACAGCAAAATATGCCCCGAAAGAGAAGTGTTTCCTTTAATTAGTGCGAGAAGTATTTCAGTTTGACGCCAGCGCTGTTCAGGTCAATCATCTTCCAAATAACGTGGAAAACGCTGGCATTTAAAATTCTTCGGGCGCGAAAATGAGAATGTCTGAATTCATTGCAATGTCAGAAAGGTAGGAGATTTGAGCCCATACTAATCTTTCACCAAAACTATTTTTATAAATGTATTACGAGTCAAGCTTTAATACCAGTGAATAGTGGCATTTCAATGTTGTTCTAAATATTATCTACTTAAGATATACTGTGAATATTACTTTGACTCAAAGTCTCCACGAAATGTGTTTGTGGGAAAGAGGTAAAACATCGTTCTTGATATTACAAGTGCATCGCTAAAGCTCTTGCTACTATGGTGGTTTGTCATGAACTTAGATAGTAAGTTCGAATTACTCAATGAAGTTAAAATTACCCTCAGTTAAAGTTGTATCAAGGTCATTTCGCACGAGCTAGTTGTGATCTTCGTAGTCATGTCAGGTAGTTAAATTTGCTTCTTTTCGGGTACCTCGACCGAATATTTTGTTGCTAAAATTGATCCGGAATGCAAAGTGGAACAGCGGTTGCACAGCAATATCAGCTTGTCTTTCGAAAGACTTAAAGTAACCTGTTAGTGACTCTGACCAAGTTAAAAATTTACTTGAATTTAGCGGCTTCTGTTTCCTTCGAGTGAGCAGGCTTATTCAACAATTTTACTGATCGTAAGTTTGCTGAAAAATGTGTTGTTATTATTTTTTTTTTTTCAGAGGGCACGGTAATGAATCCTGCAATCTGATTGGTTCTTTACCCGGTCTGTATTTTCCTATCTCTGTCCACGGGCAACGGTAACGCTTTCGTGAGTCGCCGAGTACATCCCTTCATTCGTTGCTATTTTTCATAAATACATCTCGTTTTACCGGCTGGGCAATATTTTTTAGCAAAGAAGTCGGTCACTACCTCAAGCCGATAAATAACTTATTAATCCTCTCTTCTCTCTCTCTCTCTCTCTCTCTCTCTCTCTCTCTCTCTCTCTCTCTCTCTCTCTCTCTCTCTCTCTCTCTCTCTCTCTCTCTCTCTCAAGTCACTTTGGTCGACTGAGAAATTTTCGTTTCAGAGTGAATTTTTTTGTATAAACAATAATGTCATTACGTCGGTTGACAGGCGGCCTAAAAACCGTCTGCAATTAATTTTAATCGTTCACAAAAAGGACCTAGAGAGTTAAAACGTAAGATATTTGGCTACAGTTGAACTAATCGATGGAACTTTCATTCATTTTAACATCTGAATTTTCTCAAACAATTTGGTCGTAGTGAAAAGGCGAGCGAAGATTTAATTTCAGTTCTGCAACAAATATACGCTCTCGGTGAGTCTTTTCAAGTCCGTCCAATTTGGACATTTGTATCGTAAATTGCACACCAGAAACTTAAAGAATTAAATGAGAAAAGGTCGCATGAAATCCCCTTGTGTCTCGTTGGAGTATATCATCCGAATTTAGTTTCTGCGGAGGAAAGACCAGATTTTCACACGCCATTGCGGCAAACAAACGAGCAATTCTCACAACTTCAAAACAAAAAATTTGAATTTACTTACAATTACTTTCCTCGCCGATTACTTAATGAAAAAAGGTAAATCTTCGTACATAGATTAATCGTCGATGAGAGTAAATAATACTTTCCGTAAGATCATTGACTATTTTGAAGAAAAAGTTGTGGTGATAGTCCTTGCCAATCTAGTTTCGTTGTTTTTTAAAAATTTACACGCGCTTTTTTCTTTTCTTACGCGCTCTCTAAATGAGAGGTGTCAGATTGTGACAGATATTTGTATAATAACGTTTCAAAGTTTATTTGGAAGCCTTTTAAATCACTTTAATCATTACGCAAATGAAAATGTTCCCTTTAATTTGCGTCACCTCTATTTTAACTACCATTTACCGGCTCAAAAGCTGTCAGTTTATGGAAGATCTTGCCGTATTTATAGCCCTAAATCATTCAGGTTCTTTCGGAATGAATTTCGTCAAGTTTAAAAGAAATAAATATGTTATTTACCGGCTAAGGGTCGGTCCGTATGGTGAAAAACTGTGACCTCGGCCTTGACCTCAGCATTTTCAAGACCTCGGTCACAGTTTTTCACCATACGGACCTCCCAGCCGGCAAATAACATATATGTATTCTTATTAATCAGATCAGGGTTATCATCTTGTATCATCATTTTGTGGCATGCTCTTGCGGCAGGCCCTTTGCTATGATTTCTCTAGAAAATTTAAACAGTAAGCAAAAGGTTTTCACTCGAGTTCCTTGTTGCAAATTGAACGAAATACGACAAAAATTGCATAACATTGCTCATTGCTTGGTCAGGATTAAAGCCAACCTTAGACAAACCGCGCTGCTGACCGTCAAGTTTTGATAGACATCTTGACCTGACATTTCTTCAGACACGGACAACAATACAAAGAGAAATTACCGCACAGAAAATATAACTCGGCCTCCTTTTGAATTCTCACCGCGCCAGGCTACGTCTGGTTATCGTCTTGTATCAAGCCACCGTTATACTTTTGAACCTAAACATTCGCGTTTAAGAGCGCTTGTCTGTAAAAATCAGACAAATTCTAAATTTCACGGCAAGGGTGAAAAAATCGATTTCTTTCTTATTTTAATATTAGATAGGCTAGACTATAACTAAAACCAGCAAAATATCTTTTTATTTCAGAGAAAAATGCAAATAACAAAATTCCGTTAAAATCGTCATTTTTAGCACAGGCGGCCCAAGCTCACGTCTCGAGAAAAAGCCAACTATGAATTCATGAACGTGTCACGCGTTGTGTGACTCGGTGTTAAGTTACGGGAGGAACCGTTGAACCTTTTGCAGTTTTATTTTCATTGAACCTTCCAAAAGGTACTATTGTAAGTTAAATAAAGCAAATGTATCCCGAATAAATGCGATGAAACAAAAAATTCGCACTTCATTGAACACGGAATCAATAGAAGGAAATTTAATTATGGCTTTCATTGTTCTAGTATGTTGTGGGAATTTGCAAGTCTCAGCTGGAGCATTTTTCTGATATTTCATCATCAATTTTAACTTAGAGAGAAAAGTACTGAGTTAAAAAAGAAAAAACTAGAAAATGCGTGGTGAAAAGGATCTAAAATACAATCGACTATTTTAAGTTTTGCTCATGATAGCTTTAGTGACGCAACACGACAGTTGACAAGATTAACAAATCCAATTCAAAGTAGGCAGCATTTTAGCATTTCCTTTTCCTTAGAAGTTTATTGCACAGTTACACACATTCTGATATTTGACATTTCCGTTCGGTCATCATTGACACATCTCACGAGCTAGTAATGGGTAATTTACTTGTACACAGTACAAGTTGCCTGTGTATTTAAAAGTACGTGAGTTTAGCTCACTTGTATTTTCTATCCTTTCTATTTGCCTTCTTAGAATGTACAGAATGCGATGTCCATCGTCCAATTGGCTTTTCCTGGTTTTTGCGTTGCTTCTATCCATTGGTAAGACACTTCTACGGAAGCTTCTTTAAATGCACCTCGTATTTTATTGAAAAAGCAACGATACTTTATGCCCTGCATTCAACGCCTTTACTTTGCTTTCAGTGTAGAGTGTGCTTTTTTTGTAAAATGGTTGATTTACTTGATTTTGTCTACTCATCTTTCTTACTTAGACGCTATCCTAGCAAGGAAATCTGAACAAGTAAGTCATATTTTTCCTCGGAAAAATGTTTCAATGGTAGTTGAATTTCAATGTTCATACCTTGGTTGGAAAAAAAAAAGATTTCCAAACTACTTGTCCAAATTTGCGAGGGGTTCGTATTTTTCAATGATTACTTGATGTTGCTTATGTTTTGTATGTAAGATATGATGCGTTACGGAAATTGATTTCATTTTGGTTGTGCGATGAAGATATGATAGTGATGAGTGACTGAGACTGTCACAAATATAGTGCAACTCAATTCCATTGAAATTAAAAAAATTTTGCAAGACATCAATTTATTCGAGTTGCACAAAGGGGGAGTATCTTATGATTGGTTTGAAGCGTTTGTGTATTTATCTTCCTTGATTCTTTCCTTAGAATCTCCACCATCACATGACCAAGAGAGAAATAGAGCATTACTTTGGTGTCAAGGATCATACAAAAAGTAAGACAAAAAAGTTCCTTTTCGCATTTTTGATAATTTTAAGCTGTTTTTGCGATATTTTGAGCAGTGAAAAGAAGGTTAGTGCGATCGTTAGCCCATTTAAGGTGTTGCTCATAGACATCGTAACTGACAGCGCCCCCGACGGTGGAGAGAGAAATAAAGCGCCTTTCCCAAAAACGCAATTAACTAATGCCAGCCGAGTTTTGAACACGGACATTTCGACCTGGAGTCTAACGTACTACCTGTTAAGGCAACGCTTGTTCCACATTTCAACTGACACTGGGTAAGCCCCGAAAGGCCTAGACCTCTAAGAACGTAAGTTTTTGCCATCTTTTCACAGTACCCGAATACGATATCAGCTCACCACATCATACAGACGTTAATGGAAGGACTATGTCTCCCTTTCTCATCAGGGGAGATGTGGGTCATTCAGATATTTTACATTACGACCTGCATGCATTTGGTTCCAAATTACGGCTGCGATTGAGGCGAAATCGTAACCTCATGGCACCGAACTTAGTTATTGAGAGACATCACGGAAAGGGTATGGTAACGACTCAATCTGCGCCTAAAAACAAATACTACTTGGGACAAGTTTTGTCCGATCCAGATTCCTTGGTGGCCTTGCGAGGTGACACAAGCTTGGTAAGAGTTTTGTTACGCTTGATGGTATCTTGACTTTTTCTCTAAACGTTTTTGCCAAGTGATAGAAAAAGGATGATGGTAAGTTTAACTTCTTTGAAGTTTTTTAACATGGTGCTCTCGCTCAGACACGCCTGTGTTTACTACCGTGTTAATGATGTGCATGAAAAATGACGCGCTTCTAACTGGCGGAAAATTAGTGCATTCTCATGTAACTCGAGTGCAAATTACAAATAGCACGCGTGCAATTTCAAAATTTCGTCTGTCTTGCCTTTCTCGTATGTTTTTTTTTTCAGGTAAATTATTAACAACAAAAACATGATTTCTCCTGCAATTTGGTGTAATAAACACTTGTAAATTTTTTAAAGACTACAAATTGTACTCACCATATGGACTCGTGCAATTTTGTTCTCTTCGAAAAAATTTACTCGTGCCTATTAACACCGAATTGCACTCAAAATCATCTCATTACGCATACAAATTTCTTGCTGGTACTTACATTATGTTAATTTTTTATCATTAGATGGGTATGATCAGGACTTCTCGAGAAACACTATTTATACAGCCGCTCTCGACACACTTGGCCAGGAGAGTGAGGAGAAATGCATACTCTACACCGCACTTGATTTACAGAATTCCAACACAAGAAGCGGTTTCCTGTGAAATGCAGTCAACAGGTTCGTTCGTTTTGTAAAACGAGCAAATACTGGAATTAGTGATGCCACAGTAATGGCGCAGGAGTCATTGGTTGGTTCCCGCCTTATGGTTCTCTTGTTTTCGGCCTTCCTCCACGATGATAAGCACTGCCAATTTTAACTCGACTTGGGCACAAGACGCGAGGATCAATAAATTCAGTTTACTTTTTAATTTTTTTCTCTTGGCACTTCCACTGACAATCTTTATGTGATTTCGACGACATTAAACCTGCTTTCGGTAAACGATTGTTGTCAGTATATCGCATTGTGTTTAGATGTACTTATTTGGCTTTTTCCCACAGACCACTAGATTTTTCATCAGTACTGAGACCTTTTCTTTATTTCTTTACTTCTATTTTTTTTTCAGGAAAAGATCGTATCAAGAGATCTACACTTTATAGGAAGACTCGTGAAGTAAACCAAAATGGCTATAAATTTCTTGAAGGAGCGTTAATTGTTCCTAAAAGCTACGAACAGAAGTATGGAACAGATAAATTTGCCACAGTACTCCTCGCTATTGCCAACATGGTATGTTTGCTTGGGCATGTTTACGACGAAACAATATTGATTTTGTCTTAATCAACGAGCTCTAAAATGGCTGGAAGCCAGACAAACATTCGCCGTATCAGCAGCTTTTGGAGATGCCCGAAGGTTCATTTTTTCATCAGTTATCCTCTTTGATATGCAGAGATTCACTTCAGTAAGAGTTTCGCTTCAACGAGAGGGTGGTTATTAACTCGTCTTACACCTTTTAAAAGGAAATTCCATCTTTATCAGAATTACATTTTTTCATCTGATAGGTTGCTGGTATGTATCAAGATCCCAGTATAGGAAAAATCAAGGTCTATTACGTGGTTACCAAGATTGTTGTTATGGAGTCAACAGTAAAGCTGGTAAGAAATACTATTAAGAACCAAGATTGCTAAAGATACTGTAGTTTAGATTGGTCTGGTGAAAACGAACAAGAAGCCATTGATAATAAAAAAGATGATAAAAGTGAAAGGTCGGAGCAAATGCACGTGATTGGAGCCAAGAGTGCGTGTGTAAACGTTGGAGACCAAGGCATATTGTTTCTTGTTTAAAAAGCTTCAGACGTGAGCCGGGAAGAGGGGTTCTGGCAAAAGTGTTAGCGAAAGAGAAAAAAAACAAAAATAAAAGTCTTGCACTTTTGAACTCTTGTTTCTGAGAAGTCCTATCGTGCTACATCGAGTCAGGATTTTTGAAAGATAGGGAAAACCAATTGAAACAAGTTTAATTGCGGCTAAAAACTTTGTTTTCTTTTGCTGTATAGGCTAATTTCTCTAAGATCGACAGCAATAGCAAAAAGCTGACTCAGATGTTGAAATGGGCGGGACCTTCAACACTGAAAAGTATTAACGACCCGGATCACTATGACGTGTTCAGTTATGTGTCAAAGTACGTATTAACTTTAGATTCTCGGATGAATATCAACATAATTTTCATTCGACGTCATGTTTGTCGCGCACAGCATTGGGTCGATAACCGAGCAAATAATACTTGGTCAGAAATCAAACAAAGTGAGCCGAACAAACATGCTCTTCCAGCTTGATTTTGAACGAAAATATTGATGTTACATCCGGAACTGTAACTCTCAAGATCTGAATCATGGTCCCTTTTCTAGTTGCTGTTCTTTTTCACGTAAGTAAACAAAAGATGAAAAGCACCCTCGAGCTGATGGATTCGTCCAATCCCATCGCCTCACTTTTTCCTGAATGATGTATAGACAGGACGTTGCATGGGAAAAACCTTGATAGCGGTATTTTAAGTCTCTTTTGGGGTGTCAGATTCATCGGAAAAGGAACAAACAGCATCGTATCCCCTTGAAGGTGAAAAAGACTTATGCTTGTTTTACGAGGCATTACGTAAACGTTTCAAAGAGGCGCGGGGGAAAGTTTGCTTAGAGAGAGACAGATACCAGCCTACATTGTAAGAAATCCTCTATAATTAACTCCTTTTGGCACAGAGGATCAGACAGACAAACAGAGTACAGACAAACTGTTTAAACAGTTTTCTTTTCGTCACCAAAAGGACTCTATCACGGAGCGTCTAATTCTGGTAGAAAATTATATTGTTTCGTGCAACTAAGCAACTGTCTCCCTAGACTTGTGATGAAATTTTTTAATTGACCATCTTACCACTTTTTTCCCTTTTTGCAGTGAAATAAAAAGCGGAGGTAAGATGCTCTTTGCTAACTTGTGTAATCGGCTGAAAGATGCCAAGCTAGATGAAACGCGTCGTTTTAGAAATTTTCATATGTTTTTGGGTGATAAAAGTTCCAAGGAAGATAAGAAGAATAAAGGGTCATTGAATACATCCATATATGTAAATTTTTAGGTCTCGCCATAGCTAACCAGATCTGTTCCAAGGCAGGCGCTGGGAATGGTAACGTCAACGCTGATGTTGGTCTTCAAACTGCACTTCACGTCGCACACGAGATAGGTCACAAGTAAGTGACGACGTTGCGTTGTTTGCATTTTTGCATTATGCCCGATGTCAGTATTTGTCTTTGTCTTGTACGCTCTCTTATATCAGATTCCTTTGTCGCACATTGGCTCGGGAAAACGAACCACCTGGATCTAATTTTTTTCTTTAAATTAGAATCTTTTAACAATAACACGACGAGATTTGTCGGAAGTTTCGTGTGTCGTGACTTGAAAGTTAAGGTAGCACAATTAGCAGATGTATCGACAGTTTTGTTGCTACATGTTTGCTTGTTTGTTTTTTTCGGTTTTTGTTCTCAATAATTAATCGTCATTGCTAGCTCTTGTACGTAATAAGGTACGAATGAGGTAAGAAATGCTTGTACATTACCATCACATGAGAATTAAAGGCTTACCTTTCTCTGTTGCCGCAGCCTTTACCTTGATCATGATGGCGATGTAGGGTGTCCGCAGCATCAATACATTATGGACGCTGTTTTACCGAGTGGTATCTATGCAGCAACCTGGTCGAATTGTTCCCGGAGGGTCCTTCAGGAATTCTTGGGGTGAGTGCCCTCTTGTGGAAAATCGGTTAGCGTTTTGTAAACTTATGAAACAACTGAATATTCCCAATCGTATCTTGATTAAAATGATCTACATACTCCAGTAAATGCTACTCGCAATTTATTTTCCAATATAATCTGGAAAATGATCACAACTTATGACTTTTGTGCCTTTTTACACGTACCATAGTAATATTTTTTAGATTGATTTTAAATAGCATTTTACGTTATTATACCATATAATTATACCTTTTGTAATGTCAACGTTCTAATGAACTTACAGGACCCCTATTAATACTTGTTTCATTTCACTAACGAGGTTATCCGATTTAAGATCATTTACGATAAGCTAGGAAACATTATGTGGTAGGTGGGCTTTGTTTACTTTTACAGATCCAAATAGTGAGAAGTGTGGCATCTGTGAACTGCCTGCTAACATCTGCAAGGGTAATATCTTACCACTTTGTTCTTACTGTATTGACAGAGGCAGCAAGTCTTGGTGTTTAGATAACACACCCCACGGCGATCTTCCAACCCTTAAACCTGAGTATCACGGCAAACTTCCTGGGAAATCTTCGATGGGGACGCTCAGTGTGTCATGCAGTACGGCGCTGATTACATATTGTCACCTCATCAAAAGGTGAGCTATGACTGAGAAAGGAAGTACCACAATGAATAGGTTCGGCGCGCAGCAAGCCATGGTTTACTTCACGCAGCTTTATCTTTGAACCAATGGGAAGCAAGTTGTTCTTGGATTTGAGATTGTTATTTATTTTTCTGCTACATTAAAAATCTTGGATGGCGGATTTGGAAAATCAGTCATTCGTTTCACACAAATCAGCCAATTTTCTACCACAGTGAAATTAGTTAAGCACCTAAGAAGAGATGGAAACTTTGAGAATACTGGTCCTCGGGGCCAACGTGTCTCAAGTTAACTAGAGCCCTTGCGTAATATGCAGTGAAGATGTCAGGCCATCAGACCTTTTCCTAAACAGATTAACATTTCCCTCGATTTAAACTCATCGCCCCTTGTTTCAAAATAATTTCTACTTTAAAATTTTTTTTAAGGGAGTATGCGATAAGTTATATTGCTTTAATCCTAAAAGTGGAACGCAATTGAGTCGACTTGCACCGATAGCTGATGGGGCACCCTGTGCAGAACGCAAGGTAAGAACAAGGGTAGTTATCCTGCGATAATCTTATGAGCGTCCGGAAGCGTTTATTATGGCCATTTTCTTCTGCCACGAGCGAAACTTCCATGAATACTGCCACGAAAACACACCATGCCTTACCAACAAGCTCTCTGCGCCTTAGCGTCTCTCCAGCTTCTGTCGCCGGCTGCTTCATTGTTCATAGCGACAAGGCTGGGAATGCCTGCTTCCTGGCTAAATCTACCCCAAAGATTTTACGAGCAAAGATGAAAGAAACAAATTTTTGCCGTTTTAAATTTCATTCTATGGAAACTGAATTATTCGTGAAACAGTTGATTGATCATTATGATCAATAAATCAATTGATAGCTTGACTCTTGACTTTCTGTCTTTCCCACACTTACATTTAATTGAAATAAACACTATCTTATAAACTGTTTCCGCATGAATGTCTCTCGACACCGGTATAAGTGAAAGAACTTCAGAAATTCTCGACCAGATTTCCCCAAGCTGGGGAAAATGAAGCTGCCATGTTTTTGCTTCAAGAACACTGTAGCCACAAACTAACTGTGGGATTCATTTAGAAATTTATTGAAAATGTTATTTACATGAGAAAGAAAACCACTTGCAAAGTGAATGTGCATTCAAGATTCTTTTTTATTTCGGCTTTCATTTGATAGTTATTACCAAGTTTAAACGCTTCAGCACTTCTGTTAATTTTAGGAAGGACTCCGTGAGAGTTTTGATTTAAGCAGAGGCAATGAAACAAATTTTGTTAAAGGGAAATTGGGTGCCGCGAGTATACAAAATAGCTGAACGGCATTTGAACAAGAGTACACTTGCAATTTTGCTGTTTATGTCGTAAGTTAGGTCCTCAAACTTGAAATAAATTTTACCACCTATAACCCTAAAACTGACCTTTATTGCGATGAAAAAGCTCCAGAAAATATTTAAAATGTTTCTTAGGCCTGCAAACTACAGAAACTTTCTGTCCAGCTTATTAGTTTACAGTGATGAAGGAGTGGTAGAGGAATTCTGGCTACAAAATTCACGTTTTTCCCTTCCAAATTGAAGTATTCTTCAAAAGCACTTTTATAGTTAGTGCCCTCTAACTAGTTTGATCTTACACATCGCTATTTTACGTAAGTTTTCTCTACAATTTCTGCTCGGGTTCTCGGTGCCATTACGTTCATTCAGCGGGAAATTAATTTGTCTTTGCTCTTCTGACCAATGTTTCATTCAGTTTCCTGCGCTTTGATTGGTTTCTCACGAATTTTTTTAATGGTTTTCATGAGAATCAGCGACTTTATCACAAATTAAGAGCTAAGAATAAGTTTATCTTTATCTCTGACAAACTCCGCTCTGAATTATGTCATAGAGGCGACAAACTGGGTTACTGAAACAGTAACTCTGGGTTACTGGGGCTCCTACAATCTGAATTGCTCTCAGCAGTACAATTCAATCTCAGATCGTACTCTTTTCATTTTTTTGTGACTGGTTGAATAAGAAATTTTCAATGACAAAAATTTCAGCAATTAAATTGCAACATTTTAAAATTAGATATTGTTATAAAACCGGAAATTGGACCACGTGTTCGACCATTTTAATGCGTGTTTATTCGATTTTTAAATCGAGCGTACAGTTCCAGACCAGATTAAACTTCTTGCACCTCAGTTACCGCAGAAAAAAACAAACCCTCTAAATCTGTAATAATTATGTCACTTTACCAGTCTTAAAAAATATTTTCTGTTACAATTGCAGTGGTGCATAAGCGGGAAATGTGTAGACAATGGCAAACCAAGGATTCATGGAGGTTGGAGCGCGTGGTCTCGTTACGACTCACCATGTTCACGGCCATGTAACGGCGGAGTCACGTTCAGAACTCGAACTTGTACAAACCCTGTGTAAGTTTGAATAATAACAAATCTAAAACTGTATTTCCTGAAGCATTTAGACCTTAGGATTATAAAAGGCGTGTTCGTAATGATTTTTTTCTATCGTTATTGTTGTTTGTTTCTTTTGGTTGAGTGTGTGTGTGTGTGTGTGTGTCAGTCTAGTTTTTTGTAGCTTCAAGTTGTTGTCGTTGTCGTTCGTTTTTTGCATTTTTTATTTCAACCAGCGATTTTTAAGTTCCTTGTATTTGCTTTAATCTTCTTCGTCATTATCCATCCAACAAGCGCAAGTAGAATAATTGTATCATTAAAAACGCCCCAAAATATAGATAAATCTTCCTAATTTGCTTTATTGTTTCCTCAGAGATACTTTTTTAGCTCCGTTTTAATTTTGAGCATGGAATATTGGCTCATAACCCATGACAGCTAAGCCAATGAAAACTATTGAATTGCATTATCCAATGTGTTTTAAATAAAATATCACCCGCAATCAGACATCTTCACCTGACTTTTTCTTACCTACTAGACCATCTAATGGCGGGGAATCCTGCGTGGGAGAAAGCAAGGAATGGAAAATTTGTAACTCGCAGGTTAGTCCGGAAAATCGCCCACAAATAAAAGAGGTTTAATTTGGAATAAGAGCGACTCTGCCTAAGTGATTGTAACGGTGACACCTTCGGATTGAGTACACGTAATTATTTATTGGAGAAGTATCCTCAACTTGAGTTTAATTTTTATGTGTCATGACTCTGACGGCGTTTTGCAATTCCAAAGAGTTAACGTACCCTTTCGAAAATTGTATTCAAATGTTACTAAACTTTGAGCACGGATGCGGACATTTTGAATTTTGTGTATCACTATTGCCGGTTACCGTTGTCCCAGGGCAAGTCTCAAACCTCTTTTGATATCTGTGTAAACAGTTGGAAGTCACGCAAATAAGCATTCTTGACTCAAATTATAAGTAATGATTTTTATTTCTTCGATACCAGCGTGACGTAGGAGGTCCTTTCGAACTGCGCGTTTTGGTTTTACGTTTGCGGCCGGGTAACTGAGTTGTTTTCAAAATGGTGGCATCTCTAGACGAAATTTTTAGCACATTTAATGATAAAGCGAATCTTGAGAATCTCAAATCTCGTAGGGAGTACATTTTCATACTTTAAATTAGCTGAGATAAAGTCTTAATTGGGTCAGAACCGTATTTCTTCTTTAATCAAGCAAGAGAGAAGAATGCTAGGCGAAGGAGTCTCCCAGACTGATACCGATACAATCCCTATACTGTTATTTTAAGACTCCACATTAGTTAACAAAAAGAGAGGCCTTGAATGTGCTCTGTTCTGTTGTAAAGCACGCAGAAAGCGGCTAGAGTACGAAAGAAGTGTAGGGAGAAACAAGAGACGCAGTTTCTCACAACTTTGGTTTATAATTAAGAATCCGTTCAATTCCCCACGCACTAATCTATACTCCCTTTTAAAATGTTCCGAGAAATACACGCGCCGTGATTGGTCAGAACGAGTTCGAGGTACGAGCGCGCGCAATTCACGATACATTTTATAACAGAAATAAAAAATTTGTTCCTCGAGCATTCATCCATCCAAAAATCTCCGTGTGCTTATCTAAGTCAACAATATATTCGGCGCGTTTTTTACTTCTTTAATAAAGCACGCGGCAATAAGCCAATCAGAATCCTTGTTAGAATGGTTCAAATGATCTGATTGGTTGAACAAGACTAAAGCTGTCAAAAATGTTAAACTATCTGCAGTAGTTTACAAACTGAAATAGTTCGGCAAGTCGAATTCAACACTTTCCCTGAAGCCTTTTAGTCTCTAATACAGAATCTGAAAATGAAATGTTCGGTGAAATCTGACCGAATTGAAGCTCGGAAAAACACGCACGTTTTTTAACATAACAATCAGAAACTAAGATCTGTTTAAGGCGGATGTTTAATGAATAAACGACAACCGATTTGACAGGAAGATGAAGACTGCTCGGGATGACAGCGCCGTAAAACTCGGTCGCTGTGATTGATGCGACCCTCTCACTCAACGCATCGGAAAAGATGTCAGAGCAAGCGCCTATTTGTTCACTCTAGGGGTAACCGATGTAAACTCTGAGGCTTGCTTCACTGCGATGAGCGGAGATTGCGATGATGAGCTAGATTAATATGAATTTTAACAGTTATGCCAGTTTGGCTCTACTTTTCAATATTCCTGTTTTGGTCCGTTTTGTTTATGACCACGAAACTATATATACTAAACGAGTGTTAGCTGTGTTTGATTTTTCTTACCATACGAACTGTCCATTTCGTTTTCTCTTTGAGGATTTTCGTCTCTGCTAACGTTATAATAACGTCTGTACGGCGCTTGACAGGTTTATAAACCTTTGTTTGGTTCTTCTGTTGCTATTTGCGGACTCGCTTGTTCTGAAATTACGCTTTCAATTGACGAAAAAAACCTAGAGAGAAATCTGAGAAATGGCCAGACATAGTACAATTTGGCAGATGGCGTGACAGCTTTAGTTCTCTTGCCCTATGTTCTATTTAACAAGTAGATTCCAAGTTGCCATGCGTCTGTTCAGTAATAGATCACAGATGACGTCAAAATGTGGTAAGAACAAAAAAGTGGCACATTGGTCATGTGTGAGGCGCAGCCGAGTGTGTCACTGATATTCTTATCACATTTTGACGTCCTCTGTGATCTATTACTGAATAGACACACGGCAACTTGGAATCTATTTGTTTTATATAATAAAGAATTAAAAAAGTTTTAATGATGAAGTGGTTAGAGCACGAAAGAATTGTAGGGAGAAACACGAGACGTAGGCGAGTGTTTCCCCCACTACTTGAGTGCTCTAGCCGCTTCCTAAGTGCATTACAACAGATCAGAGCACAGTCAAGGCTCCTCTATTTGTTTTGTAATAAAGAATCCATTAAATTCCCCGCGCATTACTTTCAATTTTCAAAATAAATTTTAATCCAAAGCGAACAACAGTGTCGTCAGCATGCTCTATACTCTCTTAAAGCACAATCGGAATCGTTGTTGTAATAGTTCAAGTCGCCATGCGGTCGATGTAATTCATGAGGCTTGCTTCACTGGTCATCTCCGAGCTAGCCACGTTGGACCTCAGCATGATCGCAGTCGCTCTGACACCGTCATCATTAGTATGAATTATAACAGCTACTTTTGCTATATTTTTTATCATTCCTGTTTTATTCTGTTTTGTTTTTGAACTCGAACTTTATATACTATCCGAGTGTTAGCTGTGTTTGATTTTTATTACCATTGGTAAGCTTGCAATCTAACTAAGCGTGAAAACTTTCAAAACTCGGATTGTCCATTTCGTTTTCTCTTTGAGGATTTTCGTCTCTGCTCACGTTGTAATAACGTCAATTACGACGCCTGGAATGTTTATAAACCTTTGTTTGGTTGTTCTTTGCTACATGCCGGCTCGCTTGTTAGGAAATTTCACTTTATGTTAACGAAAAAAAGCCATAGAAAAGTCCCGGAAAAGGTCGGACATAGTCCAATTTGGCAGATGACGTGACAGCTTCAGCTCAGCTCTATGCCCTAGACTCTCAGAGAGCACGCTCTTCCAACCAACGACAGCGCGCGTTATATCCGAACTTTATTATAATGGTCTTTCGGGAATAATGTTTCATGGACTGCTTTTGGTTGGCAACCGAGACTTGAATGTTTATAGTGGATAATAGAAAGACGCTGCATGAGATGCCCAGATCAGGGAAAATTATAATGAAGGATCTTTTGCTTTTAGATTATCGGGTGGTTCTCGAAAAATTTAATGGGATTGACTACAGGATCATTATTTGATCCACTTTATCATTTTTCTTACAGGCCTGTCAAGAAGGAGCAAAAACGTTTAGAGAGGAGCAGTGTTTAAGAAAGCAATCTGGCTCAGTTCCCTACTTTGGTTCAAGTTGTATGTGTGTGACTTTGACTGTATTTCATTTATATATTATGTGCAATTCAAGGCCATATGTTTACGAAGCTTCACGTAAAGTTCGCTGACCAAAAATAATTACCTGTAATTTTCACCTAGAACTACAATTAGGAAGCTGGCAGCGTGTTTTCAATTATTGCATTTAAGGTTTTCCTTGCTAATTCGAAGAAAAACTTGCCTAATGAGTTAAAAATCACCAAACAAAATGTAATGGTAAGACAACTAAATACGATAATTTAACTAAGATACAACACTATTTTCGTTTTCAGGGAAGTTACATTTTTCATTTTCGTAACTCATTTGTCTTATTTATTTTCTCAGCCCTTTGTGAATTATATTGTCGTGTCGGAAGCCTTGTGAGAGGCAAAGGTACCGTAGAAGACGGAACGCGTTGCAAAGCAGACAAAAACACTTATGATGTGTGTATCCAAGGAAAATGCCGAGTAAGTGACTTGAGATTATATTGCAAAAGATTACCTGTATCTATTTCTTCTAGTTTGAAGAGATCTGTTCACAAATTTATCTCAGCGATTTATGGATAGTTTGTGTGGCTACTATGGCTTTAAAAAAAGTGTTCTGATACCAACCCTACTTCGTCTTCAGAATTGTCAGAGAATGTTACAATTTTGCAACCCGCAAAACTGTTTTATCTTAAAGGATTGCTAAGAATGAAGAATATTTTAAAAACCCTTTTAACTCCCATGGGTGACCAAGACAGAATTTCTCTTTACAATATCAATACAATATCAAGCAGACGAGTGATGGGAATAAAAACAATTTTAACGAGAAGTAATTAGCTGATCCAGTACCAAATCTCCAAACCAAAATCACAAGAACTATATGGCAGACAGTAAGGGGAATTACTATTAAGATCTTGGGAGCTAAAGGATTAAGTTGAATTGCGAATAAAGTTCTAAAAAAAAACCTAACAAACAAACAAACAAACAAACTTCAGCTCCAATAAATTATTTTCAAATCAAACCATATTTCCCAGTCGATAGTTTTCCTCTCATCTCGTTACCCTATTTTTTATCGAAAACCTTTTGACATTTTCAGGAGAAAATCTTTGTGAGTCACTTCAGGAACTGAATAATCTAAGATATGTTGAAAATTTGAAATGTTTTTCACTCCGTCATGAAAATGCTTTTAAGGATGTCGGGTAATTTTGGTTTTGAAATGTCACTTGAATAAATAGCCGGTTGGTTGTGATCACGTTCTGGACTCCAACGCAATGGTGGATCGCTGTGGCAAATGTGGCGGCAATGGGGACCAATGCTTCGTTATTTCTGGAAGTTACACGGCCTCTCACACTGTAAAAGGTACAGTTCATAGCCCAGTAGGAGAGTTCTTGTTGATTACGTCAAAGTTATGCAAATAGAGGGACACTAAAGAGGACCTAGGCACCTTACTTTGCTTGGAAAATAGAGATATAACTAATATTAGGTATGTGGCTTTGACGCCCGATTCACTTGCACGGACTCCGCAGCAAACATCTTGTTAAAATTTTTAGGTGTGTTTTATTGGTGGAGTGGCTACCTGGTTTTATAGGTGGCCTTTTTTCAATCTTTTAGATAAAATATTATCGATAAGTCGGTTATTTGATTGTATTAGTTTGATAAGTGTTGTATGTCTGCTTCGGTAATCTATGATTTCACTCGAGTTTGTTTGATTCTCTGTTTCCTCGCTCTTTGTTTTATTATTATTCTCTTATGTCTCAGAGCTTTAACATTTAGAAGGCAAAGTTAAGATTTTTATCGCCTATTTACTATTTGCCGAGAGTACACAACAGTGCATAAGAAACCTCAGTAAAATTACGAGTGACTAGCGAATAACACCTTTTTTCATTTTGTTTCTTTAATTCTAGGTCTTGAAAATGCAGATGTCGTTCAAAGACTTCTCATTGGTGCTTACGACGTTTCTTTCAAAATGAGGCAGTCATCACGTAATTACCTCGGTAAGAAATCGAGGGACTTTAAGTGAAACCAACGGTATAACTTAAAGAGGAAGTACGCTTCAGGAACCATATCGGTTGTTGCTGTCATTAACAAAAAAAATGTACTTGAAATTACGCAGTCAGTGTGAGAAATTCATGCCTGTATACTTTGTAATGGCCGATGGAGCCTACTTATCCTCTAAATTTGACCTGATGTGTGCTGCGCGTTAGAACCCATATCAATTGGATGATGTTAAAATAATTACGACCACTCAGGACAAAGGAAGGCATCATCAGGGGTCGGTGGAATTGAAAGGTGAAATCAATCGAACTGCCTGAAGCACGAGAAAATCAGTGTAGGAAAGTCACGAGTAACTTAAACTATAAAGTATCGAGTTTTCTGACCAATCACAGAGCAGAGCAAGCAAAACAGAAGAAAACACCCTCTCCCTGAATTTTAACGATTTATCATATCAGCTGAGGTGCTGCGAAGTAACAATTTGTAACTAATCATCAGACTGTGAATATTGATGGTGAAAGCGCTTGATTACATTTCAGGGGTTCAAGCAGACAATGGAACATATTTAGTTGGCAACGTAAGTAAAAACGTGCAGGAAGTTTCTGTTGCTAACACAGTTATCCAGTATACCCGCAAGAAGTCAAAGTACAAAGTGATACTCACGATTCCAGGTCCTACAGATCAGATTCTTAAAGTAGTGGTAAGGAATTTTTCTATTAAGTATTGTTCAAAGTAAACTTATATGTGACTTTATTTATGCGTTTCCCTTAAAAGTTTATTAAATAGAGAATAATACATGGGCACGTGTGGATATAGAAATTCTCTTCGAGTGTTTACCTCAAAAGCTTCACGAGTAAGCGCTGCGAGCGAGTGAGATGTCGAGTTGAACACAAGAAGAGAAATTTCATATCCACGCGCGCCCATGTATTATTTTTTTTATCATATAAACACAAAAGTCCTTTGACGCAAGAAAAGTCAACTTCATTAGTGAATGAAAATATAAAGGATCGACAATCACCGAATAAAAATCGTAAAGTCCGTCGGCGCTAATGCTCAGAAAGAAAAACTGCGTCGAAACACCAAAAACAAACAATGGCCGTAATTTTCAGTACACAAAACATCTCGGCTATTGACTCGGTCCTTACAGGTAGAAGAAGTCTTTCAGGTAAACGGCCAAAATCGGCCTGTGGCAAATCTTCCAGTTCTTGATTTTCGTTCTCAGCTGCGAGAAACCACTGAATACGTAACTTTCAGTTTTCTTCCCCTCTAGGAACGATTGAACGTCATTGTCAGTAAACGATACGGATATTTAAGTGTTTTAGGAGCCATAATCCGAAAAAAATTCCCACAAAAGACCTTGGATTGTAAATGGTGAAGGCTTTGCCGTCCATTTATCAACCTTTAAAGTGGCTAGCAATTTCAAACACACGTGAAAAATTACGATATTTTTCACATGTGCTGTTACGGCTTTTCTCAAGGCTGGAAATCCTTGTATAACACCGCAGTTTATATGATAAATCGAGAATAATAAATGACACGCGTAGATATGGAATTTCTCTTCGAGTGTTCAACTCGGTAGCTCACGAGTAAGCGCAGCCAAAATCGGCTTGTGGCAAATACGCTTGTTTTTACACATATCATTTCTACACCATCTTTTGGCACTTTATGTAAATTATGCCGCCTTTTATAAATTATGTTTTACGTCCCTCAAAGCAATGTGTTTTATATTTGCGTGGATGTGCACCCTTTTCCTACGAGAGTTTCGTTTCTCGTATATTCCCTCACTATTCGGTAACTTTTTTGCCTCGTGGTATCATCACGTTTTATTTTTGCCTAATAATTTGTTGGTATTTTTTTATAAAATTCGTTTTTCCGTTCCTTACGAATTTCCTTCTTCTTCACGTGCGTATTAAAGATAAGTTAAGTTGAATACTGAGTAAATGTAATTGATTAAAGCGGGCCCATGCCTCTTCAATATTATATTTGTCTTGGGTAAATCAAAATAGCTGTGCATTTTTTAATACTTGGAACTGATAATATATTGGGGGGGCAGAGGTTATTTGTGGGGCATTCCGGCAGGTTACTTTGTTACCTTATGATTTCAAACTGTCCTTCGTTCCTTTATTTTCAGTATGTTTATGTCCAAGGTGGAAATCCAGGAATAGACTTTGACTTTAAAAGGGTCGTGCAACCTTCCGACACACCGCCTGAGAATAAATTTGAATGGGTGACATACACGTGGTCCGCCTGTTCCACAACGTGTGGCCAAGGTACAAACTCTTGAACTAGACGCGAGAGTTTAAGAACTGCACGCATGTGCGTTTCTGCTCTCTTGCGCACGTGTTTCTGTTGTTCTTACGAAGTCCAGGCAAACTAACTGTTTGACTTTTCATAATCAAGATATACATTGAAATAGCTGATAGTGCTCACTGCTTTTACGAGAATCTGAACGTTTAGCTGTAATTTTTTTTTAAGCTGTGAATTTAAGTGTGCTTACTTGAGCTCGGCAACATAGCGATGATGGCGATACCCTCAACATAGAAGGTGTCACCGTGAATCCAGAAAATCTTACGACATACATTTGGAAGAACCTTTTTTCTAAATTCAGGAAGTGCCAGAGAATCTGGTCACCTCCCATCACAGGTGAAATTCGAGTTAAGTTTAAATTTTCTTTTTTTTTTAACATAGGGCTGATGTGTTCTACGAAGTGAATTGAACAGGAACTATCAACATGTTGGAGAGGGTCAAGATACTTTACCCTCTCCAAGCAGATACTTGCCTTTTCGATCATCTACCCTCTCATATCCCACCCTTGCTGGTGGAGTAACTTGACGGTACTGGTTTGCGTTTTCGCTTGCAGGTGTTCGTACACGCTCAGCGAGATGTATTCGGTCAGATGACAAAACACCCGCCAGCGATGAAGCTTGTGGAGAGAAAATTACAAGTGAATCATGCCAGGTCAAGGACTGTCCCTCGGAGTAAGAGCAATGCATTTCTTTGACAATAGACTACTGTGTTAAATACAGAGCTAATGGTTTACTTCTCACTAACGTGAGTTTGGGTTGAGTCATTTTGGCTAACGCCTTCAGAAGCGTTCTTCAATGGATTAGAGAGGGTGCTACTGCACTGAGTCTGGTCAGTGTTAAATCGATCAGAATCGATCAGAGATAGAAATTTTGAGTACGTAGAAGGTATTTTGGGAGTCTTCTCGGTATTAAATTGAACAGAATCGATTAGATATAGAAATTGTTAGTACGTAGATCTTACCGTTGCTGTGAATAATCCATTGCGATAGATTAACCTGCAGTCGTTCGACTTTTGACGTAGAAAGAGAAGCCTGAGCGCCACGGTCTTGTGTCTATATTAACTATATAAGTAACACAAGAATTTTTGCTTTCAGATGGCACACCACTGATTGGTCAACATGCTCCAGATCATGTGGCAATGGGTTGCAGACACGCGATGTCATCTGCCGTAAGAAGATCAACCCTACAGAGTATGGACCAAGCACAAACTGTCCTGCTGATCAAAAACCCAGCATTTCTGAGAATGTTCGATATTGTAACAGCATCGATTGCTTGGCTGATTGGGACACTCAAGAGGGGCTACTGGTAAGTGCCTCCAATTTTTAGAGGATCTTTCAATCGATCATTTTCAATTTATGTATCAGGAAGTATGAGATATTATGACGTCAAGTTAAAAGTCATCCTGAAAATGAACGTTTATTTCTCTTAAGAATCACGAGAGTAGCTCTATGTGTTGAACTTCTTCTAACGTCGCCAGAACTCCCTTTCAGCATGATATGTCAATGGAGCGTTAAGTAGAAACGTGAACGATTTTCTATGGGGTTCCCAACCTCAGACTCGGAAAAATGTTTTGATTTTCTCTTCTTATTTTGCTTAAATTGTTTGAAAAATGTACAAAGTTTTAATGCAAGGACGCGCAGAGGTATTGCTTTTTAGATATTTGTATTCCGCTGCGTTCTCGTTTCACTGTTAGGGTTTTCTGAAAGTCTTGTAAAGACTCATTACGTTCTTGCTTCGGTATTGTCAGCTAGCAGGCAGTTGCTGCAAAATTGTGAATGAGGAGCAGTTTTTAACACTCGTTCATACATTTTGTGGGAAGTTTATTACCTGACAACGATTCTAGTCAATCCAGACTGATCGCATATGACTTAAGCGTACAACAGAGGGGGCTTTTCGTAATAGCCAGATGTCTTTGGTAGGTGTTAGTTTGAGGTCTCAGTGTCCGCCGGGCCGGGGTTGAGTTTGCCTCTCTTCTTTCTTTCCCTTTCATCGATTCACAGTTATTCTTATATTTTTCTCTGTTGGTCTGCCTTGTGCCCTCAGTGTAGGGTTAAGGCAATCCCAGAATCACTTGCTCCAGCCTCAGCCAGCCGGCTAAACCAGTTGTTATGTTCTTCGCTTTGGTTAAATTTTCGTTAAGCTTCCATTTTCCACTTTAGCCGAATGGTTTCTCCCCTCGCTACAACACTCACTCTTACCAGAAGGCCTGTATCTTTCCTCTTCCTTTACAGAGAGACAAATGCGGGGAGCCAATTGATCCAGCGACGCTCTCTTGTTACCGATTGGATCAGTTTGGCCAAAAAACCATGGTTCCGAATCTTTTATGTAGGTACAGAGCTAAGCCGACACGTCTCCCATGTACAACTACATCATATCGTTCACAATCATATCGACATCAATATGCAATATTTACCAGCGTATTGGTTCCTGTGCTTCAGATGTTGCTGGAGTATTATAATTTGGGATAGGTTGCATTTACTGACGTCTGTCCTTGAAGGAACTTTGATTTTAAATTGTTAGAGGTCCCTTTTGTTACATGTCAAATGGCTCTCTCTCCTTGGGAGTGGGAAAGGATGCTCTGTTACATATATAAATGATTTCAAGTGTGACAGTACAATCAAATCAGCTTCTTCTTAGAGTTCAATCATTGCGAATGTCCTTAAATATATTTTTAACAAATTTGAATGGAAACTTTACCTTGGGTGTCTACTAGCATCTCAGCTAAAATGAGATGCACAGAATAAAAAATAAAATAATCCGTCAGCAGAATTAAATAATCCGTCAGCAGTACCGTTTACTGGCATAAATCGCGATATTTTGTAAAGAAATCTAACATGACACTCTTACCTTGTTTATTTATCACATTATTAGCTGTTTCGGTGATCAAGTTATGCTCTACCACATTTTAGCCAGATTTAATTTGCAGTTTGTAAATCTTGCCCACATTATTATATTAGTCGCATGACAAGCGTGACACATAAATTCAAAGACGAATCAACCTCCGAATTACCAAGAGATGGGTTTTTTTCCCTCTTTTCATATCTGTAAAAACCTTCCAAGAACTACTGTATTCAGAAAAGTAAAACGTTCAGATCCATAAATGATTCCTTTGCCGGCAAAAGTCAAAGAATGTTTACAAAAGTCAATTCGATTGACAAGGCACATACTGATTTAGCTAATTGATCTGTTGTATGAGCGTCTCATCTTACATGCTAACAAGGAGATTTGCTGTTCATTTAAATCGTTCGCTGGTGGGTCTTTTGGGTATAGTTATCAAGAAGACCGACGTTGCATATCTCAAGTCGTTCCCTTGCGTAATTATAAAAAAGACATTTCAAGTTACTTGCGGAGATCCAGAAACTGAAGCTGATCTTATTTTGTCGCGAGCCGGCATCTTAGAGACGCCAAAAGATATCGATGATTTTACAATTTGCCCCATTCATAGATCAAATCTAGGTACCGGTGTTGGGTGGATTCGTGGTTCCATTAGTAGATGTAGAGTGCATAAAGAAGTGTGTGGCCATAGTAAAGGTAGGGTTAAGTCGATTCCAAATGCCTATTGGGGAACTGGCAAGCGTGTACCAGAGATAGCAAGCAAGACATCTGGAAAATTCATATAACCCGGCTACTTACCACCTTGTGCAAAATTACACGTCCCGTCAGACTTAGGCTTCGATTGGGAATTGGTCAATAGGCTACCAAAAATCCAGACAGAGGCGGAATTTTCTATACCAATGTCTGAGCACCTTGTAAGCTTCCCGCTGTCTGGCGGGACGCGTAATTAAGCACGCAGTGGTAAAGGGCCCTTCCGCAGTAGCTACAAGACGCTGACAAAACTTTTTTCTCTTTACCGAAAATCACATCAAAATTTGTCCTTGCTAAATTTCAAGTGTGCTGAACGTATCAGCACCCCCCGGGGAACCCCTATACATAAGAGGGCGAGGATGCGCGCCGGGAATTTTGTAAATGACCCCTATAAATTTATAAAAGGTACCTGAGTCTTATCCGTGTGGGAGTGGCAACAACTGATATCTACCCTTAAAAAGTACCAATTTAAACACAAAAAAAATGAAAAATCCCAAAAATAATAACTCCTTTATCGATGTGCTCCAGAAGCTCAAGTCATGTCATTGAAATCGTCCTAGTAATGCTTATTTCAGGTATTTCATTGAGCGAAAAACGCCCTAAAAGGTACTAGCTGGGTCTCTGGTAGTACACGAAAAGTTTGAGACACCGTAAAAGGTACGCCAAGCATCCTCACCCATTTCCAATCGCCTCCTTCCCCCCCCCTTCCCCCCTCTCTTCCCCCCTCTCTTCCCCCCTCTCTTCCCCCACCAACTCTGTCAGCGCCTAAAAACAAAAGATGTGATTTGCCAAATACGAGCTGTCAGTCTCACCTCGTAAAATTCACGTGAACTAGTTATTTACTTATAAAAACTTTTAGGCACTGATCTGTCAGATTTTTATACTGACAAAATCTGTCCTGCTTCGGAGCAGGACGGCTGTACTTTTTTTTTGGTTCGTCATGACATAATTTGGTAGGGATTGAAATAACTGTACGTCTGCATTTGTGAAACAGACTATACAAGCGCATCCAGAACTCGATGTGTGCACTTCTAGTGCATTAAGTATTCTTTTGCAACATAGCCAAAGATCTTGCGATGTTTACTGTTCAAGCCTTTTTTTATTTTCAAAGAGGCATCAGAATTATTTTCATGTCAAATTTGCCGTAAACTGATTGCGTGTCATCCTTTGTTTTCAAGGTGTCTGACCTGATAGCATATTAGGGACGGACCATTAGACTTTTGATGCAGGGGGGGGGACGGGTGTTGGGCAATAACCCCCGAAAAAATCGAGCACAGGCTTAATGGAAGAAAACACATAGTGCACTTGGCAAAAGACTCCCCCCCCACTCCCCCCCGCATCAAAAATCTGATGGTCCGTCCCTAAGGTACCTTTTACATTATTCCAAAATGGGTTTCGTTCCGGAACGAAATGAATTTCATACCGCGTTTACATGCAAGATAATTTAGCTTGTAAAGACAAGTATTTACGTCCTTTTTCTATGCTTCCCTCGCTAAGAGGATTTATACAGAGATGAGTGTCGTACCGCGTTTACTTTATACAGGTACAAAAGGTCGTCCAGAATCAGTGTTTCGTTCTGGAATGAAAACCTCAATAAACTCATTCAGAAATGACTCGTTTCGAATTATTTTACTCTGGTATCATGTGGCAACCGGGATGAACTTGTTCTTGAACAAAACTCATTCCGATATCATGTAAAAGGCCCCTAAGAGTTTTTATTCCCAGAGCATCACGCTCTGCTCTCCTGCCAGAACACTATAAATTTCAATAACGTTGAAGCAACAACCCGCTTTGAACTGCTACGCTGCTATTAAAACAACGATTAATGACCACAAAAGTAACATTTTGTAATATTTTCGATTCAATTAAACAAAAATCTTCATACATGGTAAATATTCATTTGTGTTGGTATCACGATAGAACAACACAAATACACAAAGAACTTTTTAAAATAACTTTATAACCATCCTTTTGTCTTTTAAAAGCTAGAAGCTCAGTAGATTCTATCATATTGGTCATTGTTAAAACTGACATCCTCTCTGAAATGTAATCAGTTCGTAGAAGTTACAAGTACGATTTCTCGCGTGTGTTTTATTTTTTTTTTCAGTTTTCCGGAGGTTTTTGTTATTAAGTTTGTATTTTAAGCCGTTACCGTTTTACTCTCTTTTTACCTATTAAACGCTGCGTGCTTTTAAAGGAGATTTTCGTTACTGCTTCCGAACATTTCTGGCGACCACGATAGGAGCAAGGTATGAACTGGTGTTTGTTTGAGGTTTCGTTTGCGATTTGAGTTTTTGAGTTTTGAGTTGTGCACTATGGCTCCCGAATCTGAGGACAGCGATGTTACCGAATTTACCTAGTAAAATGACGAAATTGTGAATGGAGTCGACAAACAGAAGCACAAAGACGTTCTGTTGATTCAGATTAAAAGAAGAAAACGCTCCGCAAAGACAAAAGTGACAAAGCTCAGACATGAGTTAGAAAGACTATGCGTGAAGGATTCCGAGGTAACGGACATAGAAAGTATGATTGAGCAGTTTTGGGCAGCTCTTGAACACGCACAAGAAGTTTTAGAGGAATTATTCGCCTTCTATATCGAAGTAGAAGATAATGGGGAAAATGAAGCTTTTAAGGGTCAGAAACCATCGAAAAAGACGTACAAAGAGCGATCGAAGCGGGGCAAAATGCGATCGAATTCCGCGCATGTAAAGTCATGAATATGAACACGCCATTAATCGAGAACACGACGGATCGCTACGAGCAATCGACCCGAGAAGATCAGCTAAACGAGAGTCACCACAGCCACAAGGACCGAAACCGATATTCGAAGCCTTTAAAAGTTCTGACATTTAATGGTGACAAAAGAAAGTTTGAAGGTTTTTGGGCCCTCTTTACAAGTCTAGTAAGTCGAGTCAACGGAGCCAGTAAATTTGAAGATGGCAAGGCTGCGACATTGCCTCACTGGGAACGCCTTGGAGGGCATCCGTGGTCTCGGAGTTACCGTCCACGAATACGAGGAGGCCAAAGAGATATTAAAAACGCAGTATGGAGGTACGCGTCGGCTTCTGCGAGCCTACTTGGATCAACTAGAACAGGCGCCGTTAATACGAAATAACGACGTCCATGCAGTGGAGAAGTTTGTTGACCTTGTTAGAATTACAGTGGTAAAGTTACAGGCCGAAAGAAGAGACGGAGAGTTAGAAGATGGAACTCTTCACAGCTTGCTGATGAAAAAGTTGCCTGATGCCAGCTAGAAAATTACAGTCGCTGGTTGAACGAACGCGCCAGACAAAAAAATCAGTCATAGCTTTCAGAGACTGGTCGAAAGACGAAGTCAGATTCCAAATAGAAGCAGCGGAAATGGCGAATGGAATTGAGCCGAAATCCGTCGACCACGTTAGACCACCGAGAGTGCCGAGAGTATCGAGTTACTAGGAACAGAGCAGGATGCGAAATTTTCATACTGATGCAATAGGGAAAGAGCCAAAGAGTGCGAAGCCTCCGTGTTCTCTCTGCCAGAGTTTCGATCACGGGGTGTGATGTTGTAAGGAGTTTTATGACAGAGGAGTGGATGACTGCTGGAAGATCGCTAAAGTTGCCTAGCCTCTAGGGGGAAAGATTTCCTAAGGTCCCGCACATGTGGAATAGATGTTTGTTCTCGAAATCACCACCGTCTTCTTCATGGAAGTGAAGATTTGTCAGAAACCGAACCGATGACAACGTTGCCTCATGCTGACGATGGGAGACACCCAGATGTTCCACGGGAGGGGGCGCCCGCTGTGACCCTGACCAGCTGTAGTACAGAAACGCCGACTGAGTCTTATTCGTTTCGAACTGTCCCTGTGTGGATGAAGGCTAATGGAAGAAAAGTAAAAATAAACGCCATCCTAGACGATGCATCGAACGAAACTTTCCTAAACGAAGCGGTTGCTGGGATACTGGGACTGCAAGAGCTATTCGAAAAAGTTCAAGTTTATGCGCTCAATGACACCGTCGAAACATTTCAGTCCATGCCAATCAAAATCGAAAGTGTAGATGGCAGGTTTTCAAAGGAAATAAGCCCAAAAACGTGTCCGCAGAAAGTCACTGGCAATTACAGAGTGAACTGGAAGGACCATCAGAATAAATGGCGGCATCTGACCCAGTGCAATTTTCCCAAGCCGGCAAATGATGGGCTTGTCCATCTTTTAATTGGCATTGATAACGCTCAATTCCATTATTCGCACGTTGATCTCCGTGGAAAAAATGGTGGACCCATCGCCAGACACGGACCACTTGGGTTGAGCTGTATTGGTGCGCCTGACCCAAACGAGGCCGCGAGAACA